TATTTTTAAAGTATTATAAACAAATATAAATATTATTTCCAAATCTTTAATTTTAAAAAATAAAAAACAATTATATTGAAACAGAATAACAGAAAAAGTATAACTATCTCAATTTTTTGTGTTGAAAAAGACAAAAAAATAAGGAGAAAAAAAAACTACTAAAATATAGAATATTTCATATTTAAACGTGTTTGACATTTCTCATATACAACAAAAAATTTATGAGTAATTATCATAACCCACATAAGCATATCGGCTATAAATCTTGTTAGAGGCTGTTTGGTTTAGTTTACGAGAGTTTTTGCTTTTTTTAGTACTGTTATGAGTGATAAATTTAAATTTTTATTAGAAAAAAAATTTAAAAATTATATTTAGATATAAGAAAAAATGAGTAAAAATGAAGTTTTTGAAAAGTTTAAATTTGAAATTTTTGAGTTTTTACTATTTGTTTGAGGTCTTTTTAATGTTAAAAAAAAACTTAAATGTAAATTTTTAAAAAAAAAATTTTAATTTATAAAATATGAATAGTATCATAAAACAGAAACTTTTAAAAGTTTACCCGAACATGCTCTTAATTATAAGTTGAGCCCACGAAAGATTTATCGGGCCTGGGTCGGATGATAAGGCGGTCTGATTAAGTAGGAGGTTGTTCAGTTGTTGTGAAGTCAGAGACCACAGGGCGATGAAGATGGGCCTGACAATTTTGAGTTGGCTATTATATAGGGGCCCATAGCAAACTATCAAGTTTGTCTGCTTAATAAGGGCACGTGAAAGTGAAACAACGACGATAGCGTTCATGATATCTGGGTGGCCGACACATGCACGTTGATTTTTCTATGCAGAAAAATCGCCAACCACAAGGCTGGCTACAAACCCAGCTTCCCTTAATTATTTATCCCCAATGACCTTGCTATACCCTTTAGAAATATAAACATATATTTTTTATCTTAATTATATAATAAAAAATAATTATTTCTAATCATTTATCTCATCTTACTTACATGTTATATGATTTAAATT